GGGCGCGCCGAACGCCCTCCTGCTCCACCGGCCCCACGCCCTCCCGCAACCCAGCCGTGTCGCTCAGCAGCACAGGAAATCCGGCCAGGTCGACGGGGGTCTCCAGGACGTCACGGGTGGTCCCTGGCTCTGGGGACACGATGGACACAGGTTTCCGACCTGGGGGAGGGTCAAAAGAAGAGGAGAGGGTGGAGACAAGGGAGCTTCTTCCCCACGTTCTACCCCGTGTCTGGAGGGCGCTTTAGACCAGAACAATTCAATTACCCAGCTCCTGACCCCGCCCCTGGCACTAGGCCCCGCCCCCTCCCCCTCCCACTCACTGAGCAGGTTCACTAGGCTGCTCTTGCCGGCATTGGGGGGTCCAGTGACCACTACGTGTGCCCCTGAGCGGAGTCTCTGCCCGCGCCTGGCATCTCGTAGATGTGCACCCAGGGCCACCTCCAGTGCCCGTACTTCAATGTCCGCTGTGGGTGAGAGAAGGCAGGCAAAGAGAGACAGTGAGGGGAGCCTTTGAGGGCTGATACAGGTGTCTTCCTCCCCCACCACTAGGTAGACCCACCTTGCTCCAGGACCCCCTCCTCCAGGTTGTCATCCTCGCCAAAATCGATATAGGCCTCCACGTGGGCCAAAGCCTGGCGGGACAGGGAGACCAGAGGTGGTGTGTGCACCCAGAAACCCACCTTCCCACACCCAATTTATCCAGCCCGACTTCAGGGGCCAGATTGGCGGCTCATAGGCCGGAAGATTTCACGCAGGGAATGGATGAGGGATTGAGGGGGGGTCTCATGCAAGGGTTGCACAGATGGGGTCTCTGAGAGAGAGAATGGACAAATGGGGAACTTGCTTTGGTGAGGGTCTCGGCCCAGCCACGGCAGAGGTGGCCCAGCTCCCCGTCCAGCTGCCTGAGGGCCTGCCGCCGCTGCGCCTCGGTTTCTGCGTGGATAAGGTCCGCCAGCCCCTCCACTTCGGTCAGGTTCAGCTTCCCATTGGCAAACGCCCGCCTGGTGAACTCGCCTGCCTCCGCAGGTCGAAGCCCTGGCACGCTGCCTGCAGGAAGGTCCCAGTCTGACGCCCCCTGGTCCCCACCCAGGCCCATCGGGAGGACCAAGCATCTCACCCAAGGCTGCAACTCACCCAAGGCCTGCAGGACGCCGCTCACCACTGCCGGGCCTCCGTGCACGTGGAACTCCACGCAGTCCTCACCGGTGAAACTCCGGGGACCTAATGTGGCAGAGAGCTGAGTCAGGAGGACAGCACAGCCAGTGCAAACTCTTAGAAGGGGGAAACTGAGTCATGGGGCCTACAGGAGGCTCGGAATCTGGGGACCCTCACCTGGGAACCAGAGGACCAGTGCGCGGTCCAGAGGCTCCCCGGAGCGGGGGTCGCTGAGGAGGCGCAGGCTGGCGTGGCGAGCAGGGGGCAGGTCTCGGGCTGCCGTGAGAATCCGGAGGGCGTGGCCGCTGGAGGGGCCGCTGGTTCGGATCACCGCGATGCCGCAGCGGCCTTGGCCAGAGCTTAGCGCGAAGATGGTGGCGCCGGAGCCGGGGGCTGCTGCGCCGCTGCTCCGGCGCGTGCACAGTCTGGAACCGGAGGGGAGGCGAATCAGCGCATCTGGGAGACTCAGTCTCAGTGTCAAGTAAACCAAGGGCTTGATGATCGCGAGATGCCCCAGTTGCGGGGGGTTCTGCGGCTGGGGGATGCATAAATTGGATGTTCTGAAGGCCGAAGGGTGACCGGATTAGGGACTGTGAGGCCAGGAGACCCAGATGTGGGCTCTGCGGCAAGGCGAATGGACGATTTAGGTACGGAAGAACGCGAATGATTGCTCTGCCGCAGGGAATTGGGCCACTAAAACCCTGGGAGTGGGTCTGAGGTCCAAGTAGCACCCCAAGCTGTCACACCCCTTCCCTTGTAGCCCCACCTGCGAGGCCCACGTGCCGCTTGGGCCGCCAGGGTCCAAAGCCCCCGCCACATGGATTTACAACCTGAGACCTCCCTGCCAGACCTGCCTGTGTGGCTTCAAGTCTGGGCAGGAGGCCCCGTCCACTCCGTGGCGTGGCTAGTAAAGTGCTCAACTATTCTCGATCATCATTGGGTACCTTAGGATACGTCCCGCCCACCATCTGAAGATCTTCGCTTCCATTGGCTGGTGCAAGGTAGAGAGGGAGGCGGGGGCTCTATAGAGGTGGGTGTAGCGAAATGTTGTTCCCCGGGCAACATGAGACCGAATTTTTAGGGTCCTAGCGCAGCGAGACTGACAATAGGAATAAGGAATGGAAGAAAGGACAGAGCGAGCTTGGCACAGGGCAGTGCAAATTACAGCGAGGGGAGATTTTGAGTTCCGCATTTTCCATCTGATCACTCCGCAGCCTTAGGCGTGGCAAGGACCGATGTGCGCTCACTTTTTCAGTTCAAGAAAGGAGGGACTACATCTCTTTACGTTCAGGTTCAGACTGGAAACGCAGAGCATCTCAGTGACCGGGAGGGATTAGTACTGGAGAACCCACGCCCTGGCCCAGGGAAAATCTTGCCCAAACTTCTGGAAAGAGTCCTACTTGCTTTTACCGGAACTCTCGAGATTCTCTCCCCTCCCTAGCGTTCCCTCCTGCCGTTCCCTTGGCTTCGGATGCCCTTCCTCATTTGACAAACTCATTCTCAAGGCCTAGCTCCAAGATCCCCTTCTCCGGGAAGTCTTGCTGGAACCCTCAGCACAGCCCTCTCTCCACTGTGGACTTCCTTGGCTCTCTCTCTCTCTCTCTTTGGCCCAGGTCTGCACCTGCAGAGACAAGTGTCCGGTCAGTCTCTGCCTCCCCGAAAGCCAGAAAGGGGAGCATCGGAGATTGCTTTCAGGTTAACCCAGGACAGCCCTGAACCTCAGAATAAAGCGCTGATGGTGGAATTCCAGGCACTGGCTGGGCGGGGTCTCCGGGAGCGCCTTCGCACGGCCGATTCTCTGGTTCTGGATCAGAGCGGGCGGGCGGCGCACTTGCGTGTTAAGAAAAATCTGTCGGACAGAATAGAGTTCTAATACCCCCTTACCTCACCCTGCTCAATATTTTTACTTACTTTATTATTTTATTTTATTTTATTTTTGAGACAAGGTCTCACTCTGTCGCCCAGGCTGGAGTGCAGTGGCGCGATCGCTGCTCTTGCAACCTCCAAATTTTGGGCTCGAGGAATCCGCCCGCCTCAGCCTCCTGAGTAGCTGGGACGACAGGAGCAAGCCACCACGCCCGACTAATTTTTTAAGTGTGTTTTTTTTGTTTGTTTGTTTGTTTTTTGTTTTTTGGGTTTTTTTTGGCAGACACGGGGATCTCACTATGTTGCCCAAGCTTTGTTTTTTGTTTTTGTTTGTTTGTTTGTTTTTGTTTTTTGTTTTTTGTTTTGAGACGGAGTCTCGCTCTGTCGCCCAGGCTGGAGTATAGTGGCACGATCTCGACTCACTGCAACCTCCGTCTCCCAGGTTGAAGCAATTCTCCTGCCTCAGCCTCCCGAGTAGCTGGGATTACAGGTGCACCCCGCCCCGCTAACATTTTTTTGGGGGGATGGGGGACGGAGTCTCGCTCTATCGCCCAGGTTGGAGGGCAGTGGTGAGTTCTCGACTCACTGCAAGCTCCGCCTCCCGGGTTCACGCCATTCTCCTGCCTCAGCCTCCCGAGTAGCTGGGACTACAGGCACCCGCCACCACACCCGGCTAATTTTTTGTATTTTTAGTAGAGACGGGGTTTCTTTTTTTTTTTTTTTTTTGAGACAGAGTCTCGCTATGTCGCCCAGGTGGAGTGCAGTGGCCGGATCTCAGCTCACTGCAAGCTCCGCCTCCCGGGTTTTTACGCCATTCTCCTGCCTCAGCCTCCCGAGTAGCCGGGACTACAGGCGCCCACCACCTCGCCCGGCTAGTTTTTTTGTATTTTTTAGTAGAGACGGGGTTTCACCGTGTTAGCCAGGATGGTCTCGAACTCCTGACCTCGTGATCCGCCCGTCTCGGCCTCCCAAAGTGCTGGGATTACAGGCTTGAGCCACCGCGCCCGGCCGAGACGGGGTTTCACCGTGTTAGCCAGGATGGTCTCGATCTCCTGACCTCGTGATCCACCCGCCTCGGCCTCCCAAAGTGCTGGGAGTACAGGCGTCAGCCATCGCGCCCGGCACATTTATTCTTTTCTCTGAAATTTACGTTTAACTAGGCGGACTGTATTTTTATTCGCTAAACTTGACAACTCTATGGGATCCTCTCCGAGGTTACATCCTGAAGGGAGTCGGTGTTAACCGGACGAAGAGTGTATGAGGAGTGTTCTGGGCAGCTAAATGGTGCTAAAGTTCCTAAGCAGGTCTTGCTGTAATTATCTATCACAGCTCTACTAGGGTGGTTGAAATTATTGTCATCAGGAATCTTCCCCAACCAGGCCCACCCCTCCCACGTCCCTCCTTAGTCAAATTACGCCCATCTCACATTCCAAACCGGGTCTCCAGGGTCTGGAGTTTGCAAATGGGGAAACTGAGGCTCCGAGGCGGGGACCAGAAGAAAGCGTGGGTGGGGACAAGTTGGAGAATGCACCATCAGTGCGGGCGGGGACCAGCAGCAGAGAGCGAGGTGGGCGGGCGAGAAGGAAACCCAGAAAACAACACGGGCGGAGACGCGAACCAAAGAGCTAGGCGGGCGAACTCAGCTGAGAACCCGAGAGTGACGTGCACCAGGCCGGGAAGGAGAATCGAGGTTCGGCTCGGGCGGGGACGAGAAGCAGCGCTCGGGCGAGCGAGGACGGCGGCCGGCGCGGGCGGGCGCGGCCTTTGTCTCCTCCTCCCGCGCGCTCGGCGGCGGCACCGGCCCCATGAGCCCGCGGCCCCCCGGCGCCCGGGCCTTCCGTAGCCCCTGACCTGACCTGTCCTCGCCATGGCCGAGGCCGCCTCCGGCGCCGGGGGCACGTCCCTGGAGGGCGAGCGTGGCAAGAGGCCCCCGCCGGAGGGCGAGCCTGCAGCCCCGGCGTCCGGAGTTCTGGGTATGTGTGCGGCGGCTGGACCAGACTGGGTTGCAGGTGCCTGGGGAGCCCGCGTCAACTGCACGGGGAGGAGGATCGGGGTCAAACGTAACCTGGTGTGGTGTCTGGACTAGGGGCCGGCTCCTCCCGGCACTGCGGTTGCGGCCCGGCGGGCGGGGCTGGGACGGTGCTTTGGGCTGGGGTCTCAGCGCGGAGACCAGGACACGCCCCTCCGAGAGCCCCAGGCTTGGGCTGAGCCCTGCTACGCCCGGTCTGCGGGATCGCGGCGGGCCAGGGATGCGCTTGAGAGAGCCTCTCCGCGAAGAATACAGAATCATACGGTCCTGGGTTCAAATCCCAGCTCGACTGTGTGACCTTGGGCGCGTGACTTAAACGCTCTGGGCCTCAGTTTCCTCACCTGTGAAATGGGGGTAAGAACCGCACCCAGTTCCTGGGGCTGCTGCAAGGACGGCGCTGTCATAATGTGGTGAAGCGCTCAAGGCTGCTAGTGAGCGCCCCATCGATTGTGGTTTTGGAGGCGGAGCTGGGCCTCAAGAATGAGTAAGATTTGTAAGGGAGGATCTGGGGGGATGGGCATTTCTGGAGGAAGGCTGGCTGGTGCAAGGACGTGGAGGGAGGAAAATAAGCCAAGCCCAGAGCTCCTGGGGCCTTGAATGCCAGGTGGAGTGGTGAGGAGCCCTGGCGGGGGCCGGAGGGGCCAAGACTGGAGGCTGGGTTCGGAACCTAGAGTGGCCTGACCTGGGCCTGCTACGCTGCCCCCCAGATAAGCTTTTCGGGAAGCGGCTCCTGCAAGCGGGTCGCTACCTGGTATCCCACAAGGCGTGGATGAAGACAGTGCCTACAGAGAACTGCGACGTGCTGATGACCTTCCCAGGTACCCATGCCTGCCCGCCCGCCCAGTGCCCAGATGCGGCTCTCCTGAGCTCGGCTTCCCAGAGCGGGAATATGTAGGAGGCCTTGGGCCCCCTCGTGGCAAGAGCCATCGGTCCCTGTGCCCCTTGGCAGACACGACCGATGACCACACGCTGCTATGGCTGCTGAACCACATCCGCGTGGGCATCCCCGAGCTCATCGTGCAAGTCCGCCACCACCGCCACACGCGTGCCTACGCCTTCTTTGTCACCGCCACGTATGAGAGGCGAGTCCCCTGTCCCTGGCCTCTCGCTGAGCCTGCCACCTGGCTCCCCGCTCTACCAAGTGCCAACCATGCTATCCAGCTGCCCTGCGTTTGTCCCAAAGGCTTCCAGGTGCACCATCCTCAGCTCCAGGATGGTGGGCCTGGGCCTCCCTATGAGCCTACCTCCTCCGCCTTGTTCACAGCCTACTCCGAGGGGCCGACGAGCTGGGTCTGCGCAAGGCAGTGAAGGCCGAGTTTGGCGGGGGCACCCGCGGCTTCTCCTGCGAGGAGGACTTTATCTATGAGAATGTGGAGAGCGAGCTGCGCTTCTTCACTTCCCAGGTGAGGCCGGCTCTGGGCCCCCGCATGCATCCTGTGCCTATGAGTTCCCTGAGCTCACGCCCTCTTCCTCGCAGGAACGCCAGAGCATCATCCGCTTCTGGCTGCAGAATTTGCGTGCCAAGCAGGGAGAGGCGCTCCACAACGTGCGCTTCCTGGAGGACCAGCCAATCAGTGAGCAGGGCGGGGCCAACACCAATCACAGGCAGAGAGTTGGGTGGAGCTCTTCAAAGACAGCTTATCGGAGCAGGAGGGCGGGGCCTAGTCCAACCAGTCACGGGTTGGCAAAGAATGATGTACCCAATAAGTTGAAGGGGCGTGGCCTTAGCAAAAGGGTGGCGCTTATCTCCTGAGTTGGGTGGAGCTCTGAGAGGACAGCTTATCATGGCAGGAGGGCGGGGCTTATGTCCAACCAGTTAGGGGTTGGCAAAGAGTTGGGAAACCAAGGAGCTGAGGGGGCGTGGCTTTAGTCAAAGAATGGGACTTATTTCTGGGACTGGGGTCCAGGAGAGGCCCTTTCTGGGTCTGGGATAAAGTGGAGGCAGGGACCATGGACAGCACTCCACCTACAGAGTGGTATGACTCTGGGCGTTGGACTCCCCTCCAGGAAACTAGCCACCCAAGTTCACCTTCCAACAGCAACTTTTTACCATTCCTCAGACGTTCGGGTTCACAAACAGCTTTATTTAAAACATGGGAACAGGGGCAGTGGCTCCCAGTACTTTGGGAGGTCGAGGCGGTAGCCTCACTTGAGCCCAGGAGTTCGAGTTAGCAGTGAGCCATGGTAGCGCCACTGCACTCTGCCCAGCCTGGGTGACAGAGCGAGACCCTGTTTCCAAATAAGCAAATAAGGCCGGGCGCGGTGGCTCAAGCCTGTAATCCCAGCACTTTGGGAGGCCGAGATGGGCGGATCACGAGGTCAGGAGATCGAGACCATCCTGGCTAACACAATGAAACCCCGTCTCCACTAAAAATACAAAAAAATTAGCCGGGCGTGGTGGCGGCGCCTGTAGTCCCAGCTACTCGGGAGGCTGAGGCAGGAGAATGGCGGGAACCCGGGAGGCGGAGCTTGCAGTGAGCCGAGATCGCGCCACTGCACTCCAGCCTGGGCGACAGAGCGAGACTCCGCCTCAAAAAAAAAAAAAAAAAAAAAAAAAAAAAAAAAAAAAAAAAAATAAGCAAATAAATACATAAATAAAGAAAAAGATAAGACCGAGCGCGGTGGCTGACGCCTGTAATCCCAGCACGTTGGGAGGCTGAGGCGGGCGTATCACGAGGTCAGGAAATCCAGACCATGCTGGCCAATATGGTGAAACCCCCGTCTGTATTAAAAATACAAAAATTAGCTGAGGTTTGTGGTGTGCTCCTGTAGCCCCAGCTACTCGGGAGACTGACGCAGGAGAATCGCTTAAACCTGGGAGGCAGAGGTTGCAGTGAGCCGAGATGGCACCACTGCACTCCAGCCTGGTGACACAGCGAGACCGGTCTCAAAAAAAAAAAAGCCGGGTGCGGTGGCTCACACCTGTAATCCCAGCACTTTGAGAGGCCGAGGCGGGTGGATCACTTGAGGTCAGGAATTTGAGACCAGCCTGACCAACGTGGTGAAACCCCGTCTCTACTAAAATACAAAAATTAGCCGGGCGTGGTAGTGGGTGTCTGTAATCCCAGCTACTCGGGAGGCTGAGGCACGAGTATCACTTGAATGCGGGAGGCAGAGGTTGCAGTGAGCGGAGATCGCGCCACTGCACTCCAGCCTCGGTGACAGAGCGCGACTCTGTCTCAAAACAAAACAAAACAAAACAAAACAAAAAACGTGGTTCCTCACTCTCCGGGTTCCTTTGCATCCTCCCTGCCTGCCCCTACACCTACAATTTCTGAAGGAGAATCAGATCTTCTATCCATCTAGAACTCTTCCCCTGGAAAGAGCTCTAGAGGTTTAAGAGCAGGCAAAAAAACTGTGACTTGGGTTTCAGACAAAAGGGGGCTAGCCAGGCTAGGCACAGGTAGAGGTGCAGGGATCACCTGTGCTCCTCCTTCCACAGTCCCCGAGCTGGCAGCACGTGGGATCATCCAGCAAGTGTTCCCTGTCCATGAGCAGCGTATTCTGAACCGCCTCATGAAGTCATGGGTGCAGGCCGTGTGTGAAAACCAGCCTCTAGGTGCTGCCTGGGCTGGGGGGTGGGAGGGGAGTCCCAGCAGACAGACAGGGGGTGACTGAGACCCACTTGTCCCCTGGCAGATGACATCTGTGATTACTTTGGTGTGAAAATTGCCATGTACTTCGCCTGGCTGGGCTTCTACACGTCGGCTATGGTATACCCAGCCGTCTTCGGGTCTGTCCTGTATACATTCACAGAGACTGATCAGGTACTGGGCAGGGACCCGGCAAGGTCTGGGGGATTCAGAGGCGCCCTCCTTTCTGGACTGGCACAAACAATGACTCAACTCTTCTCTGCCACTCACAGACAAGCCGGGATGTTTCCTGCGTAGTCTTTGCCCTCTTCAACGTGATCTGGTCGACGCTGTTCCTAGAGGAATGGAAGCGGAGAGGGGCTGAGCTGGCATACAAGTGGGGGACGCTGGACTCACCTGGGGAAGCTGTGGAGGAGCCACGCCCCCAGTTCAGGGTCAGTTGGGGGCCGAGTCCAGGGTCTTGGAGACAGGGCAAAGGTAAATGGTGGGGGGCACTGCAGGAGCAAAGGCAGAGAGCTGTGAATAGCGTTTTTCCATCAAACAGCAAATGCCAAACCCAGGTGGGCTCTGTGTGCTCCCCAGGGGGAGGGGTGGAAGTTGGATTTGAGGGACTGGGAACAGTGCCCTAGGTGGGTGACTGAGAGGGTCACCTCCACATGATGGAGGGAAATTGAGTTCCAAGGATAGGGAGGGGTGCGTGAGGCAGAGGTGGCCCCTCTAATCTCATGCTGGGCCCGGCCCTTGCCCACCATCAGGGCGTGCGACGCATCAGCCCCATCACGCGGGCCGAGGAGTTCTACTACCCGCCCTGGAAGCGGCTGCTCTTCCAGCTGCTTGTGAGCCTCCCCCTGTGCCTGGCGTGCCTCCTCTGTGTCTTCTTGCTCATGCTTGGCTGCTTCCAGCTGCAGGTGACCCTCCCCCCTACCCCCACCCACCCTATCCTTGGTGCCCAGCTCCACCTTGGGCTGAGCCCTGCAGCCAGGATGAGCCCAGAATCCCCTTCTCCCGCAGGAGCTGGTGCTGAGCGTGAAGGGGTTGCCCCGTCTCGCCCGATTCCTGCCTAAGGTCATGCTGGCCCTAATTGTTAGTGTGAGTGCCGAGGGCTACAAGAAGCTAGCCATCTGGCTCAATGACATGGGTACGCCCTGCCAGGGGGTCTCGGGGAGGAAGGTCTCCACTGCCCCTTGGGATCCTTGCCACCCTTGGGGGTACTGCGGCTGCCCGCTCACTCTTCCCCTCGGCCCCTAGAAAATTACCGGCTGGAGAGCGCCTATGAGAAGCACCTCATCATCAAAGTTGTCCTGGTGAGTCACCATCATCGGGCAGGGGGACAGCAGGGAAGCTGTGGGGTCTGTATGCGGGCGCAAGGAAGGCTCCAAGGAGTGGGGTGGGGGTGCAGGGTGACCACAGCCTGCCTCCTTCTTGCAGTTCCAGTTTGTCAACTCATACCTGAGCCTCTTCTACATCGGTTTCTACCTCAAGGACATGGAGCGCTTGAAAGAGGTGAGACCCCCACCCCAGCGGCAGTCCCCCCTGCCCCCATGGCGGCCAGCGAGGGGCCAGACCTGGCACAAGGGGTCCAAGGGCTCTCCAGCCCCTCCCTCCCCTCCTCCATCCTTCTCTCCTGTCTGTGCGTCCGTTGTCCGTCGTCTGTGCGTCCTCTCTCTGCCTGTCGTCCCCCCATCTGTCCGTCCATCTGTCCGTCGGTCCCTTCACAGCTCCTGCTCGTCCTGTCCCTGTCCCAGAGCCTCGAGCGGCAGCTGCGGGCGGTGCTGGTCCCGCTCGCGGCCCTGCGGTTCCGCCTGCTCCTCCTCTCCCTCCGGGGCCTCCTGCTCGCGGCCCGGGCCAAAGTACGGGCAGGTGGCGAGCCCGTGGGGCCTCGCCGGGGTGGGCAGCGTGGCTGTGCTGGGGGCCTGGCGCGCCGAGCTGAGGGCGCATGCGCGGAGGGAATCTGGGGTGGCGGGGAGGCCAGCAAGCAGGTGCAGGCGGCTGGGGACGCACACGGCCCGGTGCACCGGTCGAGCCTGCGGTGGGGTGGAGACGCGCTGGGCCTGCCCGGGAGGTCGGTGAGGAGCGCTGCGCCTGCCAAGCTGTAGTTTGTGGCTGAGCGCTGGGGGCCTCGCGTCCAGGCGCGTCCAAAGCAACGGAGTTAGGAACCGGATTCGGCGTGTGTCTGGGCACGGTGCTCCGGCGGGGCGCCCAGGGAGGGTGAGTCCCCCGATCCCGGCGCCCCGCTTGCCCCCCACGCGCCTCTCTCCTTCCCCTTCCTGCCCCCAGATGCTGGCCACGCTGCTGATCACCCGCCAGTTCCTCCAGAACGTGCGCGAGGTCCTGCAGCCGCACCTGTACCGGCGCCTGGGCCGCGGCGAGCTCGGCCTGCGGGCCGTCTGGGAACTGGCCCGAGCCCTGCTTGGCCTCCTGAGCCTCCGGCGCCCTGCGCCCCACCGCCTAGAACCCCAGGCAGATGAGGGCGGGGGCGGCGGCAGCGGGGGCGGGGGTCGCAGGTGCCTCAGCGGGGGCTGCGGGGCGCCAGAGGAGGAGGAGGAGGCGGCGCCGCCGGTGGAGCGGCGGCGGGCGGGGGAAGGTGGGGAGGAGGGGGACGGGCCTCCAGGGAGCAAGGAGGAGGACGAGGAGGACGACGACGAGGAGGAGGACGAGGAGGAAGAGGAGGACGAGGAGGAGGGCGAGGAAGGGGGCCTCCTGGACTGCGGGCTCCGGCTGAAGAAGGTCAGCTTCGCTGAGCGCGGCGCGGGGCGGCGGCGGCCCGGCCCAAGCCCGGAGGCCCTCCTGGAGGAGGGGAGCCCCACCATGGTGGAGAAGGGGCTAGAGCCGGGAGTGTTCACTCTGGCTGAGGAGGACGACGAGGCGGAGGGGGCTCCCGGCAGCCCTGAACGGGAGCCCCCGGCCATCCTGCTCCGCCGGGCCGGGGGCGAGGGCCGAGACCAGGGGCCCGACGGGGGCCCGGACCCGGAGCCCGGCTCCAACAGCGATTCGACCCGTAGGCAGAGACGGCAGAACCGGTCGTCTTGGATTGACCCGCCCGAGGAAGAACACTCGCCCCAGCTCACCCAGGCGGAGCTGGAGAGCTGTATGAAGAAGTACGAGGTGAGGAGGGGGCGGGGCCTCGCAGGGGGCAGGACACACCGTCCGAGGGTGAAGGCAGTTGGGGTGGGAGGGAGTGGTGATAACAGGGCCCTTGATGCTGAGATGCTACAGGAGAGGAAGGCCTAGCCAGATAGAGGAAGCCTCTGGACTGGCCGAGGATGGGGACAGGCCCTGGGTCCATGTGGGCTAATCTGAGGGAGGCGGGCTCAATGGGAGGAAGATTGTCCGAGGGAAGAGGCTTCCAGGTCTGAGGCCCGCCCACTCTCAGGACACGTTCCAGGACTACCAGGAGATGTTCGTGCAGTTCGGCTACGTAGTGCTCTTCTCATCCGCCTTCCCCCTGGCGGCGCTGTGCGCCCTGGTCAACAACCTCATTGAGATCCGCAGCGACGCCTTCAAGCTGTGCACCGGGCTGCAGCGGCCCTTCGGCCAGCGCGTGGAGAGCATCGGCCAGTGGCAGGTGGGGGGAAGCCAAGAGCTCCGAGCTGAGGCCCAGATGGAGCCCAGGTGCAGCTGGGAGGAGCCTGGGGTCTGGGGAGGCCGACTGGACCCCGCCTGAGCCCTCCTGCCACCCTGCAGAAGGTGATGGAGGCCATGGGTGTCCTAGCGATTGTGGTCAACTGCTACTTGATCGGCCAGTGCGGGCAGCTGCAGCGCCTCTTCCCGTGGCTGAGCCCGGAGGCAGCCATCGTGTCCGTGGTGGTGCTCGAGGTGGGGCCGGCGACAGGGGCAGGGGCAGCTGGGAGGTGGGAGGGCGGCCCCAGCGTCTGCAGCCTGCAGCCTCCTCTCTACCACCCCTGCAGCACTTCGCTCTGCTCCTCAAGTACCTCATCCACGTGGCCATCCCTGATATCCCCGGCTGGGTGGCCGAGGAAATGGCCAAGCTGGAGTACCAGCGCCGCGAGGCCTTTAAGGTAGGGGGGCCAGGCTGGGCTCGGTTTTCTCACTTGTGGGGCTACTGGTGGATCTCTGATCTTGGTGACCAGTTCCTTAGCGTGAGAGCAAATGCAGAGACTGCACAGAGCTGGGTGTAATAATTAGTGCTCCCTGGCTGGGTGCAGTGGCTCACTCCTATAATCCCAGTGCTTTGGGAGACCAAGGTGGGAGGATTGCTTGAGCCCAGGAGTTTGAGGCGCAGGGAGCCATGATAGTGCCACTGTACTCCAGCCTAGGTAATGGAGCACGACCCTGTCTCTAAAAAGAGTAATAATAAGCAATAATAACTAGTGCTCACAACGGCTCCAGTCACTTCTGGAATCCTGGTGGCATCCAGCACCAGGCTGGCCCTTCAGAACCTTCAGTCATCCACCAGCTTGCCCCATTGCATCCTGTTAGGGGACCAGGGACACAGCGGAGGCTTCCTAGAAGCCCAGCTTCTTCGGCATTCCTCAGAAAGCTATAGCATGGGCCAAGGAGCTCCCCAGTGCCTGCACAGGGAACATTCCTCGAGGATGACAATGTCCTGTGTCTGCACTGTCCCTGCAGCCTTTAGCTACAGGTGATGAGTGAGCACACTGAAGTGGGACTGCTGCGACCAAGAAACTGAATTTTTATTTTATTGAACATGAATGCCTTTAAGTTTACATTGACAGAGCCTCGCGTGGCTACCTGGGTATAGTCTGCTGCAGCCACGGTCTTTTTTTTTTGTTTTTTTGAGACAGAATCTCTTTCACTCTGTCATCCAGGCTGGAGTATAGTGGCACAATCTCGGCTCACCACAACCTCCACCTCCCAGGTTCAAGCAATTCTCATGCAATTCTCGTGCCTCCCAAATAGCTGGGATTACAGACACGCGCCACCACGCCCAGCTAATTTTTGTATTTTTAATAGAGATGGGGTTTCACCATGTTGGTCAGGCTGGTCTCCAATTCCTGACCTCACGCAATCTGCCCACCTCCCAAAGTGCTGGGATTATAGGCGTGAGCCACTGCGCCCAGCCTGCAGCCACGGTTCTGTCTCTTGCCTGTTCTCTGGGAAGCAGGGGATCAGTTGAGGCTCAAGATTGGTTTCCACTTTACCAATTCCTAAGACACTGTCTGGCACACAGCCGGGGACAGAGTTGATGGCCAGTGAATGTTTGTTTTCTTTTCAATTCCCAGAAAGTACCGGCATGGGTCCAGGGAGTCATTCAGTTGCACCCAATAAGCCTCGGAATCTCCAGTTCCCCAGAGAATCTCAGTGTGGGCCCGGAGATGCAGTTGGCACCCAATAAGCTTTGTTTTTTTTTCTTTTTTTGAGACAGAGTCTCACTTTGTCCCCAGGCTGGAGTGCAATGGCATGATCTCAGTTCACTGCAACCTCTGTCTCCTGGGTTCAAGCGATTCCCCTGCCTCAGCCTCATAAATAGCTGGGATTACAGGCATGCACAACCACGCTGTTAATTTTTATATTTTTGGTAGAGACGGGGTTTTGCCATGTTGGCCAGGCTGGTCTCGAACTCCTGGCCTCAAGTGATCTGCCCACCTCGGCCTCCCAAAGTGCTGGGATTACAGGCGTGAGCCACTGCGCCTGGCCCCAATAAGCATTTAAGCCTCCCTGACTTCCACAGAGAGGCCCATCATGTACCTGGGAATGCAATTGGCACCCAATAAATGATTGGATCTCTCCCACTTCTGCAGGAAGCCCCCATTGTGGGTGCAGGGATACAGTTGGAAACTAATAAGCATTTAAGTCTCCCCGACTTTTGCAGAGAGCCCTGGCATGCACCAGCCTTGGCTGGCACCTGCTAACACCCTTTCTTCTTAGTCGTGTAATGGCTTGGCTCTACCTGCAGAGACACGAGCGCCAGGCCCAGCATCGCTACCAGCAGCAGCAGCGCAGGCGACGGGAGGAGGAGGAGCGACAGCGCCATGCAGAGCACCATGCCCGGCGGGATCATGATTCTGGTGGCCGGGAGGAGGCGAGGGCTGAGGGCTCTGGGCTGGACCCCGCCACCTCCTCCGAGAAGGCCTCTGCCAAGGCCAAGGGCAGCACTGCGGGTGGCCATGGGCCTGAGCGGCCCAAGCGCCCAGGGTCCCTGCTGGCACCCAACAACGTCATGAAGTTGAAGCAGATCATCCCACTGCAGGGCAAATTCCTCTCATCGGGGGCCACATCCTCACTGGCCACTGCAGGGGCCGGAGCCACCGCCCGGCCTCCCCCTGCCCAGTCACCCACGGGCAGCGACACCCGCCTGCCCGCCTTTCTCAGCTTCAAGTTCCTCAAGTCACCCGAGACCCGGCGGGACTCTGAGCGCAGCCACTCGCCGCCCAAAGCCTTCCACGCCGGCAAGCTCTTCCCCTTTGGTGGCACCCGGGCTGAGCCTGGGTCCAACGGGGCGGGCGGGCAGGCCCGACCAGATGGGACCCCCAGCAGTGGCGGCAGCCGGGTTCAGAGGAGTGGGCCGGTGGACGAGGCCATGGCTGAGGAGCTGGAAGCCTCCCGGCCCGAAGAGGAAGGCTCAGGTCACAAGCTTTAACTCGGGGGTGGGGACGCCGGGCTGGCTTTGGGGGTAGGGTAGGGTGGCCAGGCCTGGGGAGACGGGCTGAAGGGGACAGAGGAGGCCCGGTCTTGGGTCCTGGCAGGGACCTGGGTCAGTGGTACATGCAGCCTCTCAGTTAAAGCCTGCTTCGTATCTCCAGGGCCTTTGTTAGCCTAGAGCCCCGTGCCTGACCCTCCCCAGGGAGGGATGCCAAAGCCGACTGCACCCAGGGACCCCCCACCATGCTCCCCTGCCAGGAGCGATGAGGGAGGCCCACTTCCCATCCAGCCCACCCTTCTGCTCCAGCTCACTCTGGGGGGGACTTGACCCCCCAGGCCTCTATGCAAATCCACACCCTGCAGCCCAGCTGTTCAGGAAGCACTTCCTCGGAGGTGGGGCTGGGGCTGGCTGCCCACCCAGGGAGCTCCCACATGTGCTGAGCAGAGGTGCAGGCCTCACCCCTACCCTCCCACCCCCGCCACCTCCCCTGCCCCAATCCCAGCCTGGGCTCTAGCAACCCCCTCCCCAGGGAGCCCAACAAGTGGCAGCTGCAGCACAAGGGCCATAGGTCAGAAGCCAGAGGGACTTCCTCAAACTGTCCTCCCCTTGTGACCTGGAGGGGCCGTGCCCAGAGGCAGGGTATGCATCGGAAGCCGCCCAGGGGGCCGCCCCACCTCAGTCTCTGATCAGAAGCAATAAGGCCTTTATGTGCCTGGAAGCCCGGGAGGGAGTGTGGGCAGGGTTGCCAGCCCGGCGGGGTCCGGCGGGGGCGGCATCCCCCCGGAACGGCCCCTCTCACCTCCGCAGGGACAGCGCTGGCCCCCGTGGGCGCCCCTGCCCTCCGCACCCGCCGCAGCCGGAGCCCCGCACCGCCGCCGCCAATGCCGCTGCCCCGGCCCCCGACACCGCCCGCCGGCTGCTGGCAGTGGGACGGGCCCTGGGGCTGCGGGGGTGAGGGTGTCGTCCCCCGCCAGGCCCTGGCTGCTGCCGAGTGCCCGCCCTGTGCCATGGCCGGGCCCCCACCCGCCCCCCAGCCTCTGCCAGGGGATGCCAGCTTTTACAGCCTCCCGCCACCACCGCTGCCGCCCACCTCGGAGCCCCTCGAGACCCCGGCGCCCTCCCCTAGCCCCAGCCCCAGCCCCCAGGCCGTGTGCTGGCCCAGCGGCTGGCATTAGCTCTGCCCGCCCTGCCTTCTCTTCTCATATGCAATATCAGTCATTCACAGGGGCGGCCGGTCCCCAAAATACAAGACGCCTTCAGCCCCCAACGGACCCCAGTATTGGCCGGCGCCCCCCATCTGCCGTTTTCCTTTCCAAATGAAAGGAAACCCATAAAACCAACAGAAAACACACACACACACACACACACAATAGGCGATTATTTATTTGTTTTTAATTTATTTTGTCATATTTTTGTAAAACGGCAGAAATGCAATAAAAACTCTATTTCAACAGTGCCCGAGGTCAGAGCAGTGGAAAAGGGAGTGGGGGTGGGGGAGTCTGGGTGGCTGGGGCCTGGATTGGGCACCCCCTCCCCCCATCCTGGTACAGGCTGGCTTGACCCTTGGGGGCCTCCTCCCAAAAACTGGGTCTCGGCCACAGATGGAAAACTCCGCCTCTGAGACGGCCCAGATTTGGAGGCCAACTTCAGCCCTGGCTTCAGCCACTAGACAAAGGAAGGAATCTCTAAGTGCTGAAAAGAGGCGGCAATGTGTGCACAGGCCCCAGTCCTGAGTAAGACTCCTTCTCAATGAGGACAGAGTGGTTTGCAAGACGCGCCCCCTTCTGGCACACCCACCTCCTGGAACATTGTCTGGGGAGCCAGAGACAGTGGGAAGAGCTTGTGGCATGAACATCGGAAGGCACCTGGCACCTGAGCCTCCTGCAGTCCCCGAGTTGCGATGCTGAGAGAATGGCACATTTGGGTATCCCCAGGACACGGGTGGCATTGGGATGCAGCAGGGATGTCCCACTGTGGGACGGACATCAGACCCAAGTCACTGGGACTCTGTCGTATGACTCAGGAACAGGAATGTGGCCTCTCAGACCCTCAGGTTTGTCAGGAAGAAGAGGACAAATGTGTACACATCCAAAGGCTTAAGGCTCAGAGACCAACGTGGCCATGCAGGAGGGCTGGGTCAGAGGGCCTGGCTGGGGCCAGTGTGAGCAAAGGGCCCTTCAGGAGGCTATGGAGAAGTCAGAGTTCACTGGAGGCAGGAGAACAGCCTGTGCAAAGGCAGAGAAAGTGGAAGGCAGTCTGGGGGAACAGTGCGGTACGGGGCACCCCAAAGGCAGGAGGGGAAAGCAGAGGCTGGCTCAGGGGCCCGGCGTCCTCCCACAGGCAGTGGGAGTCACACAGGGTGTGTGTGCCAGGTGGGGCATGTCCTGACAGACCCAGGAGTTCTAGGGGGAGGCCACAGGGAGGCGAGCTGGGACACAGCCCTGAGACCCCATCAGAGGGAGCTGAGGCAGGCGAGGGGAAGGAGGTGCCTGCCCAGCAGCCCTGCAGACCCATGGGCAGACAGCACAGGCAAGAGAGCCCCCAGCCACTCAAAGCAGAAACTGGGGGCCGGAGAGGTCTAGACAGGCCTAGGGGAAGGGCGGGGGTGCCCCCTGCTCCCACTCTGGCCCCTGGCCTTGGCAGCTGAAGTCCCACCATCTCAGTCATTCACAGATGGACACCGCAGGCCTGCCCAGGTCACACCAACCCTGGGGACTGGGACTCCCCAGCTGGGCTGGGAGCCTCCAGGGCATTCAGCCCAACCCGGCACTACTGACCCGGCACTACTGACCGTGGTCAACTGTGTATTTCCTGACCACCTGCCCTGTGACCACATGGACCCTACAGCACCATCCCTGTGGTGCAGACACTTCCGAGAGCTGGGAGACACAGCTGGGTGGCCGTACTGTGCCTGGGCCGGGTCAGCCACTCCTTGTGTAGGATGGGAGCCCACCCTGACACTGTCCGTCCTTGGGAGAGATGGGCTGCCCAGGCCCGAGGGTCTATCTGGGGCAGGCGGACCCTCCATAGCCCAGAGTCTCTGCTAGCTCTGTGGCCCAACCCCACACCATCCCAACGCCCTCAGACTCAGCTTTCAAAACCAAGACCTCTGCCAGGCACGGTGGCTCACGTCTGTAACCTCAGCACTTTGGGAGGCTGAGGAAGGCAGATGACTTGAGCCCAGGAGTTTGAGACCAGCCTGGGCAACATGGCGAAACCCTGTCTCTATGAAAAATTTTTTAAAAATTAGCCAGGCAGTGGGGCACGGTCCCAGCACTTTGGGAGGCCGAGGCAGGCGAAGCACCTGAGGTCAGGAGTTCGAGACCAGCCTGGCCAACATGGTGAAACGCCATCTCTACTAAAAATAGAAAATTTAGCTGGGTGTAGTGGTGCACGTGTGTAGTCCCAGCTACTCGGGAGGCTGAGGTAGGAGAATCGCTTGAACCTGGGAGGCGGAGGTTGTAGTGAGCTGAGATCTCGCCACTGCACTCTAGCCTGGGAGACACAGCGAGACTCCACCTTAAAAAAAAAAAAAATTAGCCAGGCATGGTGGTGTGTGCCTGTGGTCCCAGCTACTTGGAAGGCTGAGGTGGGAGGAATGCTTGAGGTTGAGGATGCAGTGAGCTGTGATTACACCACTGCACTCCAGCCTGGGCAACAGTGCGAGACCCCAACTCAAAAAAACAAACAAAACAAAACTAAGACACCCCCCCCACCGCCAGTGGGGGTGATAAGGGAAGAAGCGGTGTTCCCCCAGCCCCAGGCTTAATGGTCAGGGCCACAAACCTTCTGCCAAGAGCCTGAACACCCCCTACATACCCAAGTTCAGCCCCAAACCCAGCCTAGCTGGCAGAGGAGGGGTCCCCATGAGCTGCCATGGCACATGCCAATTGCCAGGTGCCGACTTTCTGCACAGCTCCTCTATGACCCAGCAAGGGTGAGGCCACTACCTGGGACAGCAAGACCGGCCAGATGCCATCTGTGCTGTCACCATGCCTCACGGGAGTGGCAGAGGCCAGAGACCCCAGGCCCCCAGGTGAGGCTGGCCATCTCTGCGGTGGCTGACAGGTGCACTGCCCTGCTCGGCGGTATCCCAGGCAGGGGGCTGACCCTGCTCCATCCTTGGCACCATGGACCGTCTCTCAGGAATGACCTGTCCTTGGGGTCACCTTGACAGGAGAGGCAGAGGGGATGGTCCAGGCAGGTCTTGGCCTTGAACATGGTGGCCTCAGCAAGCCCACGAGAGAATCCAGCCGGTCCCGGAGCCCCCGGCGTGGGGGCCCTTCTCACTCCTCTTGGTGACAACAGGGATGACTCCCAGGGGTTCCGTCCTCTGCAGCCAAGGTGTGTGGAGCAAAGACGCGAGGTCGAGTAGGAAAGACCCTTTTATTGGGGTGGACACGGAGCGCGCACTAGTCCATGATAAAAATAAAATGACTCAAGAGAAAGATCCCAAGGGCCGACTTCTCCCCGACGTGCGCACACGCTGAGTGAGGTCTGGGCATGGGAGAGTTCCAGGCAGAGCGTGGGACAAGACCGAGTCTCAAGGGCCTGGACCGGTGTCGGGGGGAGAAGGCCACTCGGCTGTCCTGGTGGGTGGGCTGCCCCAGGCCCGCCCTTGTTGCCCAGCCACAGTGAAGCCCCCACTAGAGACCCTCACAGACACGCTCTGGTTCTCTGGAGAACTGGGGGCAGGAGTCGGGGAACTGGCCCGGTGGAAGGCGGGGGTCGGGGGACAATGTTGTGTTTTTTTAAAAAGCATCTACCAACATCACACTACTGGGTCTGATGTCCCCTTTAACCAACGCTTGATACAGGTTACAGCATAAATAAAAACTCAAGGAAAATAAATACATCGGCTCCTATGAGGTTGGAAGTGGTGTGGACGCAGGGTGTGGATGGGCCGGCAGGGAAGCGGGCGGGCGGGGTGCTTACACATGGCGGGCAGGCGGGTGGGCGACCGAGGAGCAGACCTGGCAGGAGGCGCCTGTGGGGTTGAGAGTCTTAAGTGTCCTCGTGCATGTCTGGGCTGTCGGTTCGCGCCACCTTGCGGGGAGGTGCGGAGCTCTCGCCTTCCAGCTCCACTTGCTCCTGGTCTCTCTTCTTGGCAGCGTTCTGGGGGACAGGGGAAAGAGAGGGGCTGTGAGTCATTTTTTTCGGACAGGCTCTCGCTGGAGTGCAGTGGTATGATCATTGCTCACTGTAGCCTCAACCTTCTGGGCTCAAGCAATCCTCCCAGCTCAGCCTCTGGGAGTAGCTAGGACTACAGGCACGCAGCACCACGCTTAATATTTTTACTTTTGGTAGACATGGGGGTCTCACTATGTTGCCCAGCCGGAGACTGTGAGTCTTCACATGGGTGAAGCTCCCAGAGTCCTAATGCCAGCCCAGGCCCCTGCAACAGCATCACAGAGGTAAGCCTGGAGTACGGTGGGGGGTCTTGGGGTCCCTGGCTGGGCAGTCCCTCCTACCACCAGGACCTGCCCTGCTAAGCCCTGCCCAGCTAAGCCCTGCCCAGAGCACTTCCTGGACCTACGGCCGGTGATAGACAGGTGTTTCCTGGGCACCGGGAGGAGTCACCCCCAGCATGTGCAATGACACACAGGGCTGGTTTCTCAAGCACTCAGAGGAGCGATCCACCCAGCCTGGGAATAAAGGCCTTTGGAAGCCACTGGGGATGCTGCACATCAACGCAAGAGAGAAGCACATGTCTCCTTCCCCACTGTGGAAACCAAGGCCTGGAAGCAGGAGAAGGGGTGGGGTGGGCCCAGCAGCTTGGATTTTCGGCAACAGTCACTTTGCCACAGAGTCCCCCCACCTTCCAACTTTGCCCAGGGTAGGTAGCCACCCACTGTTCAATGTTAAGTAAAAAAAGCAAACTTGGCCGGGCGCGGTGGCTCACGCCTGTAATCTCAGCACTTTGGGAGGTTAAGGCAGGCGGATCACCTGAGGTCAGGAGTTCGACACCAGCCTGACCCACATGGAGAAACCCTGTCTCTACTAAAAATACAAAATAAGCCAGGCATGGTGGTGCATGCCTGTAATCCCAGCTACTTGGGAGGCTGAGGCAGGAGAATCGCTTGAACCCGGGAGGTGGAGGTTGCGGTGAGTCGAGATCACGCCATTGCACTCCAGCCTGGGCAACAAGAGCAAAACTCTGTCTCAAAAAAAAAAAAAAAAAAAAAAAAAAAGCAAACTTCCCGGGCGCGGTGGCTCAGGCCTGTAATCCCAGCTACTCTGGAGGCTGAGGCAGGAGAACTGCTTGAACCTGGGAGGCGGAGGTTGCAGTGAGCTAAGATTGCAGCACTGCACTCCAGCCTGGACAACACAGAGCCTCCGTCTCCAAAAAGAAAAAAAAAAAAAGAAAAAATAAGAGGGCCGGGTGCAGTGGCTCACACCTGTAATCCCAGCACTTTGGGAGGCTGAGGCAGGTAGATCACTTGACGTCAGGAGTTC